ACCCTCTGCTACATACCCCTTGAAACGCCAGCCTGTTACATAGCCCTTGTCGCGCAGCCTTCATGTCTTCCGCAGGGCAAAAAATATTTGGGTATGTCGCGAAAACCTCCCTCTGTTACATACCCTATGTAACGGGGTATGTAACGGGTGTGGGCCACGGGCCCTGTTACAAGCCAATCGTTTTGGCACGTGCCCAAATCATCAGGGAATCAAACCGATAGATATCGACAATCCAAAATATACGATTTGGTTATTAACATAAATTTCGAATCATTATTTGAAGATTTTTATTGATTTTATGATCTTCTATTTAATGATCCAATCTTTTCAATTATGATGATTTCGAGAATTGCATAGATAAGAAATATTCCTTCAATGCAATTACGAATCCCAATATCATCCCTGAATCCAGATTTCTTCAGAAGAAAATATCTACGCCATCGTTGAAGTCGGGCCTCGAAATTGCCGCCTCGAACCTGAGTCTGTGGGGCCAGAATTCTGAGCCCACAAGTTGGGTATCCAAAGACGCGATTCTCGTCAATTGGGTTCAGGGTTTAGGGGGTTGTTCTGAAAATTATGAACCCTTTTTGGCTAGAGATTATATTACGGCACCTAATATTTAGGGGTACCAAAATGGGATCCTAATTTTGGCAACTAGGATTTTGCATTCATAGCATTTAGCACTTCTGCCAGGCATATAGCTGGGGGAAGTGGGTCTAGGGTTTAGGGGGCTAGGGCTTCAGGGTTTGGAGGTTAAGAGTTTAGGTTTTAACACCTACCTGCCAAACCAAGCCGTCATCCCTGTAAACCTTAAGTAGCTTCTGGTGCATTGCCTGCCCAAAGTACGAGTTTCCCTTAGCAGCCCCTGGAAGTCCTCCAAACCAAGTTTAGGGCTCTTAGGGGAATAAATCAATATAGAATTTAGGGTTTAGGGTCCGGACCTTAAGCCCCAAGACATTCCCTCTTCCTACCGACTACGCTTCGCCATCCTACAACTACCACGGCTGCTACCACACCACAAGCACTGCGACAACAATAAACCATCAGCACCGAGTCACGACAGAGCTCCATCTGCACTCGAGAGTTGAACCTAGGCATAGACAACTAAACGGGGGCTACATAGGGTTTTGGAAAGGAAAATGGAAACTATTATGTTATATAGGGATTATGTTGGGGTTATATAGGGATAATGGAAAAGAAAATGGAAACTATTGTATTACATAGGCGTTATATAGGGGTAATAGACAAGAGAATGGAAGCTACTCTAAACCCTAAACCCTAAACCCTATTTAGGGCTTAGGGTTTAGTTCAGGGTTTACCGTTCAGGGTGTTGGGCTTCTGGGAATGGCAAAGAAAACGAAAACTGCTGCTTGGAGTTTTCGGTTCAGGTTTTAAGGGAGCGGAAGCGGAAATGGAAAGCATTTCTAGGGTGTAGGGTGTACAGGAATGGAAGAGAACATGGAAGCATTTGCTTAGATTTAGGATTTAGGGTGTAAAGGAAAGGAAAATTATCCAAGGAGACTACAATATCATTGGCAAGTACCTGCTTCGGGCTGTTTAACCCAAAGCCCTACCTGCAGAAATGCAAAAATCATTATACCAACCCTACTCCTTAACCCTAAACAAGCCTTATAGGAAGCTCATCTGGAACAAACGTGGGCTCGGGCTCATACGAACACCTTGCTATAAAAACCTCAGAACCACTTTAGACATTTATATTACGAACCCTAAGCCCTAAACCCCAAAACCATAATCCCAACTACAAAACTTCATCATTGTGGTAGATTACGATTTATGGGAATATTTATTCGGGGGTGGGGAATCTTAATATTTGCGGCAGGGAAGTTTTCCCTAATCTAACCCTTGCAAAATGATCGATTCCCCGATATAAGCCCATATGATTCCAGTTGACACCGCATTTCCTGATTCTCTTCTCCATTCGATTCTCCATTATCTCCCTTACCCGTGTATAGTCTTACTGTCTATGACCACACTTGGACCCTATAACACTCTATTACTGTTCACCAAGTGGACCGCGGCCGGCACATCTTTGGAGCCATCGCGGACGAAGACGTGGTACTTTCCAGGCTTTGGCAATGCATTCGCCGGATCCAGCAGCTGCAGGCCTGTGTAGGGACATGCAAACACGGGGGTTGCTGTTAAGGAACTTAAATTAAGTTACCATAATGGGTATATATAAGTAAGTAATATGGCTTGCCCATGTGTCCACCATATAGTAACTTAAATTAAGCTCCTTAACAGCAACCCAAACACTGGAGCATCTATTAGAATCCGCGTATACTCTCAGATTCTAGGTGCTCTGTGTACCATCCTTATGCCGATTGGCCGAGTCAGCCCCAGATCACCGCAGTTTGGCACGCAGACTTCCATGCAGGTCCACGCGCTTCTCAACAGTGTCATCCCGCTGCTAACGCCCAAGCGCCGACTGAGTGAGACCCTCTTGGTGAGTGGAAAGTTCTTTCACCTGTGTTTGTGAGGCTCTTGACTTTCACAATACTGGTCATGGTCACAAACTGTATCATCCCTGTACAGCAATACTTTTCAGCACGAGCACTGGAAATTGAACCTGCAACAAATGATTCTCGGGGATCGCCAAGATTGTTGTCGGAATGCTTTCGAAAGCCGCGCTCAAACTCCCACGCATGAACCAAAAGGTAAACCCGGGCATCCTTCGGGTGGCGTGCTGATTTTCATTCGGATTGTGTAGGTATTTTGTGGATCCTGGGGATATGTAAGATTTTCGTAGAATAGCAGAGAATAAAATGGACACAAAATGGCAAATGACATGGACTCTCCTTTTAACAAGCGGCCTCAATTAGTAGAACAGGGTTTTGGGATAGGTTCAAATGTGCCTATACGCATTATGCGGGGATTCTACTGGCAATCGTTCAGGCCTCTACAGTACAGCAGTTTGACATGACATTGCTCAATCCTCGATAACATGAGGCATCGGCTTGCACTCCGGATGCTCCTACGGATAGTATGGGGATCACTGTTTCACAAGTCTTCAGCCCCATTATAAGCCCTAAAGCAGAACCTCTAAAAATCATAAGATTGGACCTATGGGCCCCTATGTACCCATTGTATACCCTATAAGGCCTTACAGGCTAAATTAAAGGCCCATAGTTAGGATCCAGTATACAGGTACTGTAGGGGCCCCACACTAGGGGCCCATGGTTGTTCAGACCTTAGAAACGCACTGAGAGATGGCCTGTTTGACATCTTTTCGCTCGGCTGGACAGGGGCTGGAGGCAACCCTTTGCAAGTGCAGTTGAACCCCAAACTTCAGATCCTGTTAATCCAAATCCTTATGTGCGTATACCGCCCCAAATTCCACACCTACAGCTGCTAGGGCTCCTAACTAGAGAACATATCAATCTTACTCCGTCCACCAGTAGAGACTTGGACCCACACTATGACGACCGGGCGGCAAGAAGTGACCCCGATGTGGATCCACACGGTTTCGGTTTTTGGGTTTCGGGTTTGGGGGGTGTCAGATCCGTAGCATTTGCAACCTCCGTAGCCTGCTGTCCTCCATCTAAATGGGCTAAAGTTAGGGGTACAATTTTAGGGTCCACTAAGAAGGGTAACGATAATAACATATTGGAGCCTACATGGTCCCCCCCCTTGCGCGGAAACTTCCATTCCGAAACCCTAAACTCTAAAACACCAAACCTTAAACTCCTGACTCCTAAACTTCTGAATCCTTTTTGGGGGGAGAAACTGCACAACGTGCTTTCCCGGTACCTGCTGCTGCTCCGTCAAACTACACTGCTGAGTTCGTTGTGCCTCTATACTATAAACTACTGTAAACCAACCCCTAAACCCTACACCCCTAAACCCTAAACCCTGAACCCCTAAACTCTAAACCCCCCTGGACCCCTTAACATTGCCTTCTGGACTCCGCCGGCTCTGTCGCCAGTAGATGCGGTATGGCCGCCCCAAGACTTCCTCTTGCAAGATTTACACTCCACCCAACAGGGTTTTGGGCTTAGGGAATTCTAAAGGGTTATGTACGGGTTATTTTGGGGTTACATAGGGGTTATATGGGATTGAATAAGGTTAAGGGTGTAGGGTCTCCCCCAAATAACATGGAAACCCATTAAACCCCTTTTAGAAGGAGTTAGAAGACTTGGTGAAGAAGGTTCCTCCACCTGCATTATGGACGCCTCTATCGCACCTACAATTTCCAAGGGTTTAGGGAGCAGGGCTTTAGGCTACTTGCCAGAGGTGCCTATTATGGACATTCCTCTGAATCTGAGAAAGCCTTTCGTAGTGAGCATGCTGCACGAAAATTTGATGAGGTATCGAATGAGGGAAAGCCTCAGTGAGTTCATGAATATCTTTGGAGTGCAAGGGGTTTTTGCGGTACCGGGTATATTTGGAGAAGTCCCATGCGGGACCTCCTTCTCAAGATCAAGACCCTTCGAAACAGAAGCCCGCATATCCCCTAAACCCTAGACCCTAAACCCTAAATCCCTAAACCCTAACTCCCTAAACCCTAAATCCCTAAATCCCAAATCCCTAAACCCTCTGCAGCAGCTCTTTTCTGCGCGATCTATCGTGCCAGGTGGGATATATAAGTCACGCTTCACCTCTATGCTCTTGGGTTAAGGATCCAATGTAGGGCTTGGACAAGTAGTAATGATTAGTGATGGGACTTTAATGGGGACCCCAAGAATATACTAGGAATCAATGAAACATAACTACCAGGGGTCCTTGTGTTCCTTTTATATTCCTACCATATTCTTGGGGTTCCCAATTTTGGAGTAGAACCTAACCCTAAACCCTAAACCCCCTACATCCTAAACCCTAAACGCTACTAAGACAAGGCAGAAATATTCCTGACATCAACCTTGTCTCGGCCACGCTCGCCATATCTCCTTCGGCAAGGAGCTGACGCGTAAGACTGGAACTGTACCTCATTCTGGCCAAGAACGTCAACCCTGAAGTAGGGTGACGAGTTACATACTGTTGATACGAACCATCCTGCATGAGATTCTGCTAGGAGTCCAGAATTCCAAAGTATAAGGTTGGCTATTTCTTCACAGCAGCTCTCCAGGGATCTGATATCTGGTACTTTGCAAGAACTTGGGATACCGGGATACCTAATATACACCTCAAAATAGGACGGCACCCCTAGTTTAGGAAACCCCAATACCCACAGTATTCAGACTCTAGAAGTACCAAGTAATCCTTGAACCCTACACCCGGTGCAGCCCGTGTGACAACCTGTATGCACGCATGTATACGTAAATGTGCGTGTTCACCTTTTTGGAATTGCTAAGCAATCCCCCCCACCGTGTACTCACGGCACATACCCGTACCCTCTATGCATGCCCTGAAGGCACTGAATCCCCAAACCTCAAACCCTACATAGTAGTCTCCATGTCATGCTGCGTTCTCTTTTCAATTTCATATTCCATCAAGCACCCAAGGCACTTGACCTCCAAGGCGTCCGACTTCTTCAAATCTACCACTCTCACTCGGATACCTCGCTCGTTGGCAAGTGTGCGCAGCATCGCCGCGTCGCCCTTCCGCCTAGGCTTAAATTAAGTTACTACACTGGGGAAACCCAATGATCTACTATATATACCCATTATGGTAACTTAATTTAAGTTCCTTAACAGCAACCCAGTTATGCAATAAGAGGTTGAGCATGGATGTAGGGTTTGGGGTCATTGGTGGTAGCCTTCACAGTTCAAATTAGGGGCCTGTTATGGTCATACGAGAGTTCCAGGGTCCTTATAATACCGGTTGGGGTCACCACAATCCCCTTTGCCAGATTTGAAGGGTGATTCTGAAAACATCTCCTACACAATCCCGAATACGAGACCCCCATAGTCCTCTTGTTATCCCATAAGCCCTAAGCCCTTAACAATTTTTTTTTGAGTTCCCGAAGGTGCCTCAGTGTTCAGAAGCACCAAGGGCTCCGTGGTTTTGCAGGAGTTGAGGTTTCGAGTGGTGAGCTTATGGCTGTCAGATTTTGAGATGAGGCTTTAGCTCTCCCAAGCTAGAAATTACAAGATACTATGATATATCACGTGGTGATAACTTGGGTTTTTGCTGACTAGGACGCGGTTTAGGGTTTAGGGTTTGGGAAGGTTAGTCTCACCGTCGTTTTAGTGCTTGAGCTGCACCCTCAACCCGCATACCCCAAACCCTAAGCCGTCCCATGCCGTCCCGCTCAGGAAACCCTGCCAGGGTAACCTCCTGCTCGGGGCCCCATTTTTATGGTGGAATTCTTACCAAGATTCTGGTAAGAACTGAGAATTCAAATAGAAAGAGAAAGTGGACAATTGAATGGCAACGAGGATTCTACCGGGGTTTATGGAGATTGTACGGCAGCGGCCTGAATAATAAGAACCAATAGGCACCCTACCCTCCACCATGATGTCTAGGACGGCAACGTAGGAAATAAACCCTGAACCCTAAACCCTAAACCGCGTATGCAATGAGTTCATCTCCTTGGGTTCTGGTTGTGCGGATAACGGTCCTAGCCCAACTGCACGCAAAAATGAAACATGACATAACCCCTCAACACCCCAAAGCCCCAAAACCTTTGTAGTCCTGAGACTGGACACTGTTCAATGTGGGGCCAAAATATCATGAAATACCATCCCCTTAGAATCCTTGCAAAAATGGAATATTGAATGCTGCTAAACCTTCCTCTGGGTAGCTAGGCCCATGCGCAGCTGGTGTTGATGCATGGGGGTCTCACCCCAAACTGAAAATTCCCCAAATAAGGGTACCGTTTTGGGGGTCCCTATAATAAGGACTCTAGTGCATCAGGGTCTATCTTGGGGTTCCCCTCTTTTGGGAAACTCTAAACCCTAAACCCCAAACCCCAATATCGAAACCCTGAACCCCGAACCCCAAACCCCAATATCGAAACCCTAAACCCCTAAGCCCTAAACCCCAAAATCGAAACCCTAAACCCCTAAGCCCTAAACCCCAATATCGAAACCCTTCAGCCAGGCTTCTTGTGTCCGAATCGGAAGTCGGAACCGCAAACAACGCCCGCGGCCCCCAATTCATCCTCAAGGCTTAGGGTTTAGGGGTTTAGGGTTTAGGGTTTAGGGTTGTTCCCCCAAAAACGAGAACTACCTTTGAAAGGGGTTATAGGGGCTTTATAGGGTTTAGGGCCTTTTAAAGGGAATTATAGGGGTTAAAGGGGGTATATAAGGTTAAGGGTGTCCCAAAACTGGGGGTTACCTTTGTGGGGTTGCCCATAATAAGGATTATAATATTCTGGGGCCTATTTGGGCAACTGCCATGTGGGGTTCTCTAGGAATAATGGATAATAGTGGAAAAGAACATGGAAACTGCTATTTAGGGTGTAAGGGATTTGTCGTTTGCAAAGTACGGCTTGAGATTTTGAGGTTTTTGAAAGCAAGTTCCGGAGAAGGCCATACACTCCCTTTTGGGGTTGATACTATGGGGATTTCCCAAAATAAGGAGTACCAGTTTGGGAGTCCCCATAATGAGGATTTTGCTATTTTGGGGCCTATGTTGGGCCCCCTATTTTGGTAAACTACCATATGAGCTATAGTCTAAACTCCTAGTATCCCCCTGAATACCCCCTATAGTAGTCCCTATATAATCCTCTATATAACCCCCCTTTAAGGAGTTTAGACTATAGCTCATATGGTCTTTCATGAAGGCGGCTATGCGCTGGGCTTACGGTCCCAGCTTCACGGTCTGGAACTCATTCTTCAGGGTCCAGAAGGGTATGTGGGTGGTTGCCAAAATTATGGTTCCTTGTTGGGTCCCTATTATAATACGGCCCCTAATATTTAGGGTACCCAAAAAGGGACCACAATTTTGACAACCACCCATGTGAGCTCAGAACTCTGGCCTGGAACCTTAGGCAGCATTCCAGTAGATTAGGGTTGGGGGTTGATGGTTAGGAGTTTGGGGATAAGGCGGGGAATCTACCCTACGTCTTGTGTCCACATGATAACAGGTCCGGCAATAGTGACTAGAAGAAAGAACAAGCTTCAACATCCTTCAAGCATGACTCCGTGACACACTTTGACCAACGTGTTGCCACAAAACAAGCATATACAAAGCATCCGTGAGAAGACATGTGTGCGTGCTAATTACTGGGCTACTGTCGTCCTTTGACGACCTCTTCCGCACGCACAAGCCCAAGTCTCTTCGAACAGCCAATACGCAGAAAATGTACACTTCTACGATGCAAGAACCTGACAAAGTTGTAACGAATGAAGCCAGTCTTGTTCCCCAGCATCCACCAGAAGGTCGACGAACTCCTGAGGAGAAAGCTTCTGCACCTGAGGAGCCGCCCAAAGTAAGCAATATGAGTGGCTTAGGGGTGCTACCGGAATGATCGTTTTTTTTTTCTTTCAGGTTTAGGGCTCAGGGTACATAATATGTTGTGGGTCTAGCGCGGTTTGTTCTAAAGGTCCTCCTAAAGAAGGTACCATTGGAAATGCAATTCATTCAAAGGAGGGGTCCAAACCTTGCGCCCATTTTTTTGGGGACAGGGGCCCTACATCCTAATCCTCAAACCCTAAACCCTGAACTCCAAACTCTAAACCCCGAACCCTAAACCTTTCCATGTTGGGTTCTGATTTTAGGAATGCAGGGATGGCAAATGAGTTTCCTTTAGGGTTTAGGGCCTAGGAGACGCCAAATTGCAACAAAAACGCAGTCAAGGTGAAAACTTCAGTCATCCCCAGCATATAATCCAAATGTGTAGTCTGTTCTCTATATCATTGGAAATAAAGGAAGAAAATCGGGGTACATCATGGAAAACCAGTGATGGGCAGCGTTGATGGAGCTTTTAATTTGCCATGCGAACAAGGTATCGGTATGCCTGCACTATAAGTAACCTGCTAGGGCTGGAACATAACCTTGCCCAAATGCGTGGATATGGGAACCCAGAAAATTCTGTCTTTGGTTGTCTTATGAGCCCCTCGCGCCTGGGCGAAAGGCAGCACCCTTTCGCTGGCGCCCAAGGACTTCAAAACCTCAACTCCGCACAGCTACCCTAATTATCCTTCTTGGAATGGAGAGTCAAGTGCAAAAGAAGGTGGAACCAGCTTGGGGGTCTTTTCGCTGTACTACGGTTTTGGGAGAGGTGAGGGAGTCAATATGGGGACTGCTTCTGTTGCGGGGCTCCATCTACTCCCCCACTCAGCTTCCGTAACCCCTATGTGCAGTGGCATGTGACTTCTAGTCGCATTTGTAGTATTTCCCAGCTATAGGGCCCCTGAGACCCTATTCAAAAGCAGGACCAACTTATAGTTGCGAAGCAGGCTACAAGTAGCACTCCTCTACAAGTAGAGTTTAGATTTCAATGCGGGTTAAGGCTTTCCAGGCTGTAGGAGCGCCCTGCGTCAAAAATGGAACCGCACATGCTCCCCTCACTGATAAAGGGAAAGTACACGTTGCGCGCTGATTCCGGGAGAGCCTCAAACACCTGAATCCTACCTCTCAATTGTTAGCCGTTAGCTCCACGAGCTGTGGCATGATGACCCTCAAGCCAAATCTCACACAAGAACTTTGAACAATTGTTGCATTCCAATCCGAACCTAAAACCCTAAACCCTCAACCCACAAGAAGCCAATCACAAAGTCCCAAGGACCTCTGGTCGGTTCTCGGGTGCAAGAAGAGGCAGCCGCTGCTCCTGCAACATTTCGCGTGCTTTCATTCTGCGTATGAGCTAGGACTAACTTAGGTGGGGAAATCTATAAGGCGTGGAACTTTATATGAGAGGTATAAAAGGCACATAGGAATTATGGGGGGTTCTGCAAGGAGCGCTGGAACGTGTTGGATGGTCTAGGGAGACGGAGATCGCGCGTCTTGCTAGAAATGACTGCCACGCCATCGGCAGGACATTCCGTGAAAAGGTGGTTTGATGGTTGGGGTCCAGGCAGCCAGGGCATTCTAATCCCT